GTGGGTACTGAAAAACATGAAGTGCCTGAGCCTACTCCTGACCATGTAAAAAGCAGGAGAACTTAACGAATAATGGCCTGTCAGTGTAGTCAGAATCCAGCCTGATTTTCTGATTTTGTCAATAGTTAATAATTCCGACCTTTCTCCCTTACTCAGTGGAAGTATATTTTCCCCCCTGGCATCAAGTTTCTCAGAATAAAGCAGGAATATAAGGAGGAAGAACAATTTCTCCAGAAATACCTACCATAAATAGAGCTTTCCATTCACTAGCAAGTTATCAACGTAAAAATTTACCAATACCAAGCAGTCTATAAACAACCACCAGAGAAAAGCTTCACTTAAACAAAATAAGAAGCTTCCACCCACACAAAAGTACCTGGAAATATCATTTAGTTCTCACACCCCTCCTAATCTCCTTAGTTAAAACCTAAGACTTCATTATAGCACCTAAACTATTTTAGGCAATTTTCCCATGATCCTATAAAGCCGTGATTCCAACTATCTCATTTTCAACCTTGTTTGTTAAAGGAGCAGGGTTTCCACATTCCTTCTGCTTCATATCCTTGTTTACTCGACTCTTCTAAAACTGATTAGAACAGGTGATGTGTGTTTTAATCTCTCAGCAGACACGATGAAAATCAGATTTTTACAAGTTTGGCTCTTGTAAAGACCTGAAAAGACCCAGTGGCCACCAGTCTGGGTCCTGAGAGCCCTAGTGTTAGGTGAGGGTGATTAAAGTGCATGTCACTGAAACATCTGGGATCAGCCATCCAGGGCTGGAGGTGTCCTGGCTGCTCCTTACTAACCCAGTTCCACACACAAAGGATCAGTCTGCGAGAGAGCTCTGGCTTAGAATTAAAAATGTTCCCTGGTGCCTGGAGACCCAAACGGTGCCAGTCGGCCTCTCTGAGCCCCGCAGCCCCTGCTGGCAGCGAGGTGCTCGTTCCTCCCTTTGTTTGCGAGCCGTGAGAGGGTTCAAAGCACAGCAGTGGGGGTTATCTGCCGGCTCCACCTCTGCTTTGAGTGGTACCTGTGGGAACTGTCAAACGTTTGCATCTTGTATGCAGGGAATGCAAAATTCCCTTCGCTCTGTTTTGTTTGGCAGAGTCAGATCAACCCATCTGCAAGTCGGCTCCCTTGCCTTTCTGGAGCATCCAGCAGCAGAGCCTGGGAAGGATTTCTGCCTGGGATTCTCAGAGGTATCGAGTCCATTCCCAGAGCTCAGTTCCTGGTGAAGATGTGCCAGGCATCTTCCAAAGGAATTTGATGCCTCTTCCAGTGCATTGGGATTCAGAGATTTTCTAATTTTTTTTTCTAGATGGTGTAGTAACTCCCAGTGTGGAAGAGCATGAGCTTCCATCAGCACAGACTGGCATGAGCCAAAGGTTAAAATCCACAGACTGGCAACTGGTCTATAAAATTGCACCTGTTGGTGTGTGACAGACCCTAAATATTGAATACAAACTTTAGAATTTATATTAGGGGATGGAAATAGAATCCTTCAGAGGCAAAGCCACAGGTGGCTTGGGTAAGGTGTAGCAACTATTCCTGTAACACCTGGAAGAGTGTGAAGGACAACTTTGGCAGGATCTGTTCAAAAGCTGTTTAGTTTTCCTTCTCTGTTTTTTTTTGTTTTCTCTCAAGGACAGGGGAGACAGTCTGAGTAGTGTTTTGCTGGTTTTGAATGATGCCCACTGAAGCAGGAGCTCAAGTATAGGACAAAGACTGTTTTTAAAACAGTTAGGCTTTACTGCCTGGTGATATTTTTTCGAAGTACATTTACTGAAGATTTATGTAAAATCTATCTTTTGTCTACTTAAAATATGTCAAATGGATGTACAGGGCAAAATTTAATGCATATGGGTTTTCATTATTTTAAATCATTTGCAATATAAATGATTTACTATGACATCAGACCTTTGTTCTTTGGCTGTCCACCATAAATTGAGGCCCACCCAAATTTCCAGTCTTAGCTATATTTCTGCATTCCCTCCCCCAGTATCTATAATCTCGGTTCTGTGATTCTTCATGTAAATGACTTTCAACAGGGAAAGGAAGGGAACACATAATTTGCCTTAATACAGGTAATTTTGAAAGAGGAGCAAGACCTTTACATGAGGAATAGTTGACAGCTGTGGAAAGGGGAGAACTAATGCTCGTAGAACTGAAAGTCATCCTTGATGAGAGTGGTGAGAGCTACTGATCACCCAAATGTGACCAAATGGACTTTTTGTGCACTTGAAACTGCCAGAGGTGATCGACTTCTATCTTTCTCTTTCTGAATTTTTTCATGTCTTTTTAGTGCCCTTACATTTATAATGCAATTAATTAATCAAACTCTGGCCAGTTAATGTTGCAGGCAACCACTTGGAAAACTGAGGTATTGGGGTAAGCCAGGCTCCCCAAGGTCATTCTGAAAGTCCACAGTGAAGAACTGGTGGCACCTGACACCCAGAACTGTGTTTTCATGACAGACTTGCTCCTAACAGCCATAAAAATCTTGAAACACCCGGACTTTTTGGAAGACCTTGTGGAAAACTGCCTTCATTATTGTGTTTGCCAGTTGTCCTGTGACAGTTAATGGATACAGACCTTTGGACCCATCACAACCTATATTTGAAGCCTTCCCAGCCTGGTAGTTACTGAAAATTGTTGCCACTGAACAGCTCTTTTGTGGCTACACTACAAGAATTACCCCCTGACCTCAGTGCAGTTTCTCATTCACTGATGTCATCTCAAAACCTGCAAGACTGAGACTCTGCCGAGCCTCTGATTTCTACTCATGACTCTGAGAGACAGTTCAGCCTGAACCAAACATCACGTTTTTGCAAACCTACCACACCACATAACTCAGCCTTGACACACCCCCCTTCCTGCTCTGTTTTCACAGTTTCATGCATTATTGCTCATGCATGTGGTTTTAAGAATACATCCCAAATCTGACCTGCCTGAAGAATTGTAGCAATTCTGAGCAATATCATAAATTACAGCAACATCCTAAGGGGAATCTTCCTGCTGACATCTGGGCTATCTGTGTGATCCTATCGCTGCAAGTGTGGCTGACAAGGCCCATTTCTCTCTCTTTGCTGCCTTTCCCACAGTGCTCGTGCTAAACCAAACACCAGCACTGCCAGCAGTTTAACCCTGGAGTCAGAGCAGGGGCAGATGATGTGGTGGGCCTGCATGTCCTTGCCTTCATTCAAGCTTCCAGGGGCTCTGCCACGACGAGATCCAGTGAGAAAATCTCAGGGTGGTTCTGATTTATGTGCAAGAGTGCAGAGGAGAGCAAAAGCTTTTAGTATCTTGGGAAGTAGCTAGGGATTAAGGCCAAGGAAAGGACAGTCATGTCAATTAGATCCTAAAAAAAGAAGACTCAAGTGGAAGTCCTGGCTCCCGAACTGTTTCTGGGCTGGCAAATGTTCACAGTCCTCTTGGCAGATCCTGCAGGGAGTTAATGGGCCCACTTAGATCCCCTCCCGCACACCAGGCGTCAGCTTGACCGTTTTGAGGGAGGCCTGGCTGTGATAATTCAGCATTTTGTCCTGAAATGAAATTAGGGAATGCGTTTTAAGATCTCTGATGCTTTCTTGTCAGGAATCTCCAGTGAACCCAGCCCTTCATTCCAGATGTGGCTGAGGGAAGAAAACGTCATGCAAAGTGCAAGGCTGACACCTGGAGGGACTGTGAGAGGCAGCCGGGGAGCCTGGAGCAGCCAGACATCCTGCAGCACACATGGCTGGGTGAGGAAAGCTCAGGGGGGTGGCAAGATCCCAGGGTTTGGAACTGCTCTTTTCTACTGAAGGGGTGCTTTCAATATTCTCCCTCTCCCCTTTTGCTGTTTCAGATCTTCCATGTCTATTTTTAGGAGAAGAAACATAGAAGCTCTGACTGTGTCACCTAATTATTCACTTCCATGCTCAGGAATGTCTGGATCAAAACTTACCTTGCTCAATAAGCTGCTACAAATAACACACAGTTGTATTTTCAATTGGTTGCTCTAATTTATTTGAATTGCTGGGTATCAGACTTCCTGCTGCTTTACCATTTGTGTAACTCTGTGTTGAGTTTCTGCAGCACAGACTTGCAGGGCAATTCCTGCTGTCAAAGCTGCAGCTGGAAGATTTGGCATTAGGTAGAGCTTGTTCTTTTCATGTCTGGTTCTGCCAGCACCCACGGTGAGGCTTTTCTTGAAGCTGATCCTAATCAAGGAATGCAAGGCAGCTTCTGGGACAAAGTCTTCATGCTTTTGGAAGTTTGCTTTCCAGCCTGGCAATCACCCATTCACAGCACTTACTCAAACCTTTTCAGTAATCTCTCTTCTCTGCCAGGAATTGTCTCAGTATTAGTGAATGCTTGTTTTGCTTGATCTAATTTTAGCATATGTTAATAACTGAGTTATTTACTGTGCTGACATTACCATACATTTAGTGTCTCACGGACCCAAAGATTATATGTCCATTACATCTCTTTAATTCTCTTTGTCATTGCCAGTGTGGTTCCAATCATCATAAAATTTGCTTAGCAGTGAGTAGTTGTTTATGGAAATGGGAAAAATAAACCAAAAAACCCCACAACCAACAGTTACTTTTGGAACTGTTTTCTGCAGTTTTACCAACCCAGCTGCAGTGCAGCTCCCTGAGCCCCCACGTGTCCTCTCTGATGTACCTCAGTACTGACTGCACTGCTTTCCCCTCTCACCTTCAGACTGCCAAAGGATCATGGACATTCAGTTCATCCTGATGAGCATATAAACCACTCCATACATTCCAAACCAGTTAAAAGATGAGCCATGAAAACACCGGGGAGTGGAAAAGAGGCACTTTGAGAGCTTCAGGAGCAGCACAAGACTTGGGGTGTGCTGGGGGTGCTGCTTTTCAGCCCAGACACCTGGAAGTCTAATTCCACCTCTGTGGTTACTGTTTCTTCAGTGCTTCTCATTAACTGCCATGACTAACGAGGCAGTAACACCTTTCTCCCCCCACCCCCAAGAATATTGGGGTGTCAGTTATGCTGAATTACACTGGATCCCTGCTCACTCAGTGATGTAGACAAATAACAATTCAAGATCAAGGGTGAACCCTGGCCACTAAACTTGTTTCACTTGTGACTCATTCCAGACTTAAAAACCTGGCTCTTGCTGACATTTTATTAACCCAATTTGTCATCCTCCTAACCCCCATTATCCAACCCAGGCAGATTATTTACTTTGAAAAGATGTGCAGATAGCTTCCATGCGAATCCTAAGTAGATCCAGGTGCCACAGCTAGATTCCAGAGGGACTTACAGTCATGAGAGACATGTGCTGGTAAAATAACTTCTAGATGCTTCCAAACTCAATGACATTCTCCCTCTTTAGATTTTGTCTGGACTCCCCTTCCTGCAAAGCAGCCTGGCACCAGCATGGTGAAGTGCCCAAGTCCATACCTTCAGGGCTCTGTGTGTGTTCCCAAAGAGATCAGCAAAGGTAAAATTAGACATTTACTAAGGTTGAGTACATACTAAAATATACTCCTGCTTTGGAGTTGGAATCTCTGGCTACCCCCTACTAATATAGTCCCTTTGAATCTTTGCATTTATCCCAAAATAAAGCATTCAAGTCAAGAATTAGCTTGCTGCCTTCCAGAGGATTCATCATTTCCAGTTTGCAAGCTTGAAGAGAGAAATCCAGGAAGCATCAATAAATCTACTTTGACAGTGGAGTAAAGAGCTGCAAAAGGAGTAACCTGTCAAGGTAATGTGACTTAATTTCTCAGAGAAAGATCCATTTTTATAAATGAAATAAAAATGCCAGCAAAGTCAAATAGCAGGAAGTGTCACACTTGATTGTCTCTCAGTAGGACAGAAATTAAATAAAAAGAAGGCAAGGTAAATGACAGGGTTTTACATTTAGCAAGGGAAGTAATAACATAGAATAATAACATCCACTGAGAATCTATGCACAGCAACCCGGGTATGACAGAGGTGTGTGTTCCCACAGAAACATTTATTTAATGTGCACATTTTCCCTTGGACAAAAGGCAGGTTGAGCGCCGGGAGCTGAGGGCTGGTGGAGATGCGGGGATCGGACGTGCGGGGGCAGCCTTACCTGCGGATTGTCACGGCTCTAAAACACCGCGGCAGGGCCACTGCAGGCAGCTCGCTTGGCCTCCCAACTTCCCATGCCAAGCTCTGGAGCTTTGCCCCTTTCCAAACGAGGGACCCATCCAGGCTTCCCTGGTTTCCTCATTCCAAGGGCGAGCGCTGTCCCTTTAAATAAGCGCCGAGATCTCAGCCCGAGCGGGGACTGGAGCCCGGGCTACCCACGGTTATGAAACCTCCCATTCAGAGCTCGGGGGCTGCTGCTGCACTCCGAGGTTAATAATCAGTTTTAATATTCACTTAGGGGGCTGTAAAAAAAGAATGAAAATTTCCTAATTTGAAAATGGACTTGATTGGCAGCTTTATTATCTCTGTAAGGTGCGTGGCATTCCACACAATCAAGTCGTTTTTTTAAATAATCTCACTGCTTAAGTCGTACACGCTGCTAATTGCATTTTAATAAGTCTCTTTAAAATCTTTCCATATTTTTTAATATCCTAATATTAGATAAGTGATTGCTGGGGACACTGGAGGGCACTGAAGTTTATAGAAAGAGGAACACCATAATGAAGCTTTATTGGGGTGGCATCACCAAACAATTGCTGTGATAGCAACACTCCCAAGCTTGGAAAAGTGCCAGGCATTCCCCCCCTGGAACTGACTCAGGCAGTAGCCTCTCTGGCTCAGGACTGACGCAGAAAATGGATGCTTTCTGGCTCATAAAATGGCCTCTTTCCGGCTTGGAAGTGACTGAGGAACTGTCCACTTTGGATTTGGAAAGGACTTGGGAACTGGTTTTTCTCCATTGAACAATGACTTTGAAACACACTTTTGTTTTGCTTGGTTCTGGCTTGAAACTATAAAAGTTGTTGGTGTTTTTGGTTTTTTGTTAGTTTTTTTTTTAAAATTGGGTCAGGATTAGGCAGAAAGAAAGAAGATTGTTTTGCCAGCTCTGTACAGTAGCAGATGATGTGAAAGGCTTCAGTGGAATTAGAAAACCAAGGCTGCAAGTAGAATAGATGAACTTTCCATCTCAAAGATCAAACCCAGTTAAGATGAGAGAATATTTGGGAGAAAATGTACTTTGGTGTGGGGCTATGGAGTGTCTGTGTCTCACACAGGGGACAGAGTATTATCCAAGAACACCAGTACAGACTCAATCACTCTAAAGTTAAAAAAACCCAAACAAATAAAATAAACCACCAAAGAAATCAGACAATAGTGGGGCTGAACTGACAAGCTCCAGTTTCAAGCACCCAGAAGTACAGAATATTTCCAGCTCAGGTCCAACCAGGATCCTGTGTGTGCATCCACAGGGTGAGCTGTCCCAGCAGTTACAACCCAGTGGTGCAGGAAGGTGCCCCACGACGTTCCATGTGCAGAGTCCAATGTTTTCTATTGGAAGTCTGTCTTTAGATAAAGTACTGTCTTCTCTATTATATTTGTTTTCTCTATGTATTTAAGTTGTGTTTCTTCAAATTATGTGTTGGGCAACTAACGCCACTTTCAATGTAATTTAACATCATCAGCCATGAGTGGGAAATATAATCCCAAATTAGTGTGTAACTGGCTTCTAGGGAACTTAACTGGGATAAAAGGACTTTTTTTTTTTGCCCAAACTGCATGGCAGTGCCAAATTTTACATTATATTGCATTTTGTCCTCTGCAATTCGTGCACTGGGACCTGAGATCAGAAAGTTATTTTGAGAACAGTAATGACTTTAATGTATTGCCTGCTTTTATATGGTTTTTTTCCCCAAGTCTTGTCTTCTGAAATCATACTATAATAAATCACAGTGTCAGTTTTGGTTTAAAAAAAAATCAAGCTTCTGCCAGTTCAGTATTTAGTAAAGAAAAACAGAAAAAAATGTGATATCTTCTTAAAGACTCAAAACTTAGGAAAGAAATACAGAGAATCTATAATTGATTTTTTTTCCCTTTCAAGTCTGATAATATTTAAGTAAAGTTGCTTTTGGAACCTAACTGTAACTTTTAATACTTGAAATGGACAGTACTGATATAAACATCTTGCATTAGTTTGTTTGAAAGTGAGCCATTTTCTGACTAACTGAAGATCTGTTTGTCTATCCATGTGTTTCTTCTGTACATCATCAGAGAATCCTTGGACTCAGTCCATCGTATCTGTAGGTCTGACCTTATTCCCACTGAAACCCAAAGGAGTTCTGTCACTAACTCTCAGTTAAAAATGGATCAAGACCAATTTTGCCATATAGTATGAATAAGAATAATTTGTTAACACTAAATTTCTGATTACTAGTTGTGCATCTTTCTGGTTTTAAGGTGTATGAGGTGGCACTGTAAAGAAACCAATATCTCTGGCATGAGCCATGAAGTAGAAAAGAGTTGTCAGTTTACAAAATTTCCTGTCTTCCTCTCTTCTTCTCCTCTTTTTTTTTTTCCCCTTCTGGAAATCAGAGCAGAAGGTCTTGTTTCGCACTGACAGGCTGGGAGGCACATGTTCAGCGAACTTCTGCACAGGAAGTAAATGTCCAGGTCATATTTATCCCTTTTCATGTGGTTCTTTTAATCCCCCAGATTGGGTTTCAGAAGAGTTTTACAGTTTCAGTTTTACAAAGCGAACCTTCCTTTAATGTTGGCATTTTAAAGAAAAAGCTTCAGTCAAAACATGTGTGTTTTACATCAGCCAGATGTGACGTTTGGGGGAACAGGCCACAATGTGGCAGCCAGCTCCTCTGTGAGAGCTGACGGGGTCGGTGTTGGACATCAAATGGGAACTACTGGTCCCCGGCTGGGGGATCAGCCTCCTGGCTCTGTCACCCAGTGCAAAAAGTTATAAAAATAATAATAATTTTACAAAAAGTCCCCAAGAAAATTGAAGATCAGAGCATGGCCAGCATTGCTATGACTTGCGCCCCAGTAACCCACATGGCCACATTACAGAGAACAGCCCTCCTGTGCACAGACCTATACACCCAAAAATTTATTCTTGCCTAAAAATGGTTGAATTAAAACAAAGCAAGAGGTGTTAAGGGCAGCAGATGCACATTAATGTGTCCGACACTGCACCAGCAGCCAGTGGCTACTCCAAAAATAAAACCTGATTCTGCACAACTTCCATGGAACATCCCTGTCCCTGTAATCTTCTCTTTCAAGGGTCTAACTTTTACCATTTTCATTTAAAAGCAAACAATGAAACAGAATCAGAAATCTCTCAGCTTTCTCCAAGATTTACCTCACAGCTGTGCCAGGTGAGGCAGGTCTCGTTTTCAGCCGGACCCTCTAAATTGAGGTCAGCTGTGACAGGGTGGGGCCTTCTTTTTCTGCCCCTAAAAGCCCTTCCTGGTAGTGTTTTGGGGGTATGGATGGAGTTTGTACTGGAGAGGAGGTTTTCAGCAGTCAGTGCTGTGGTTGTTGGGTCAGGGCTGCCTCAGGGCCTGTGTCAGGGGAGGCTGAGGCCGGTTGAGGGGCCGCTGAGGCAGCTGCTGTTTCCCGCCATTTTTGCCAGTCCAAGCAGCCACCGGTGCCTCAGCAGGAGCAGGTGTCGGTCTCCTGCCATGGCTGCCTTTTCTCCTGCTCTGTGCAGCAGCATCTGGCTGTGTCATCTACACAGAACTGTGCTGGTACCTCAGTACTGGGCACCGGGGCCACCATTTTGTGACTGTTGGAGCGCCCTGAGTGGCCCCTCAGGGGTTGTTGCTGCTCTGGGCTGAGGCAGTTGAGGACGAGCTGAGGCGGTTGAGGAAAACCTGAAGGTGACCTGGGGCAGTTGAAGGTGACCTGAGGCGGCTGAGGAAGAACTGAGGAAGAGCTGGGGTGGCTGAGGAGGAGCTGAGGCACCTGAGGAAAGGCTCAGGCAGCAAAGGAAGAGCTGAGGCAGAACTGAGGAATCTGAGGCCTGAAAATTCATCTTATCAGCGTGTGTGGCCTCCAGCCCCTTCAGACAGCAGGTGCCTCACCCCCTGCCACCGCCTCACAGGTATCCGCCATTCCCTGGCAGGAGACCCCTGAGGGAACACCTTCAGGAGGCAGCCCATGGGAAGCTCACCACAGTGTCACTTTGGGACAACTTGAGGAGAAACTTCTTCCAGAGACACGCCTGCTGGTGTCACACTGCACTGGTGACATCTGGGAGATATTTGGCTGCTACCAAGGACTGTGTGGCACTGGCAGCCGTTCCAGGAGTCCTGGGAAAGCAGCTCTGTGTCTCCGCTTCTGCACCAGCAATGGGTGAGTATTTGCTCTATTTCCAAAAAATGCATCCCTATTTAAGCACCTTTTCTTGGTCAGTAAGCTGCAGGGCTGGCTTTTGAATCCTCTGGAATAACAGCTATGGTCTCTTGAGTTGACACCATTAATTTTTTCCCTTTAAGTTTTGTGTCAATCCAAGGTCACTGGCCTCCAGGCCTGGGCTCTGCATTGATCTCCTTGAGGGATATAAATAGGTTTTCCACAGAGTTGCCTGCTTTCCTGACTGTAGCTAGGTATAGATTTTGTCTTTACTGTGGCTAAATGGTATGGTCAGATGGCTTGCAGTAAATTTGGCAGGGGGTTAATTTAGTGTCCTGGAGTCTGTGACTGGATGGAGTGGGGCTGGAGTGAATTTGAAATAAGTATACTTTATAAGCTATCCTGCACAATATATCACTTCATAATATCCCTGAGAAGAGCCTATAAGACTGACTTATTTACTCATGAGGAGCTGGGTTGAGCAGGACCACGTCTGGGCATTGGGATTATCTTGATGGTGTACTTGGCTGGAGCAACTATCTGCTTCTCCTGGGAGCAGCAGAAATGCCATAAAAACAAGGAAAGCTGCGTAAATTATGTGCTTTTTGGACTGACTGTGCCAAGGCTGAGGTGTCTTTTAGAGGATTTAGCAGGTATTTTATTTGGTGGAACCAGAGTTGGCTGGATTTGTGTAAGCGTGCTACAAGTTTTTACTCAACTCATGTGCCCCCATTTCTCTTTGGCTGGTAAATGTCTTGATAGATAGCCCGAAGAAATCAACATAAACATACGTAGTTGTGTTTTTTCTTTTGAAGTGCATGAGTATTGAGAGCTTGATTGTTATTTGTCCTTGGGTGTTCCTCTTATCTCCACTCCAGATTTTTACATCTTGTTAATTGACGTTGTTGCTATCAGGCTCTGCCTAGCATTTTTTAAGGCACTCCTGCAGAAGTTAAACTTGAGCTGATACAAGCAGCAGAGCTTTGTGAAGCTCTCTTTTGGAAGTACCAATTACCAGCAGTTTCCTCTGATATCACTGGTATATCTGGCTCTTTATCACCTCTGTAAGTTGGTCCTGAAAACAGGGAACAGCAGGCTAAGCTTTTTTTCTGTCATCATCCTGTTAAAGCTAGGACATTCACTATGGATAACTGGAGTAACACCTGGCCAAATTCTTGTCTGAAAACTGCTCTAGCAGGGGACAGAAACACCCCCCAAAATATTATGATAGGAAATGGACTGATGACAACAAACAGTGACCCCCTTTCCAGACCACTTGTCCCTCATCCAGCAGGAAGACACCAACAGTGTCACTGCCCAGTGTAGAAGGAAGGGAAGGCAGCTTTCCCTCGTGCCTTCAGATCACAGAATTTGTACAACTAGGAGGAAAGTCTAATGGCTGTGGCAGAAATTTAGGAAATAAAGAATTAGTCCTGACTTTCCCACATACTCTCTATGTGACTGGGTCCATTCCATTTGATTTGCCATTTGCCTTGCTTTCCTCTGCGGCAATCCTACAGTGCAGGGAGGTAATAGAAAAAAAATCCATCAGCAGCTGTGAGGCACTCGGCTGCTGTGGTCAGATAAGTACCACAGTGAAGGAAACTCCTCTAAGTATCTATTAAGGACAGCACTTCACAGGGCTCTTGCCCCTTCTATCCAAGGTGCACGAAGCATTCCATCAATGCTACTTGTACTCCTTCAATACCCCTGAGAAGCAACGCATTATAAATCCCATTTTACAGATGGGCGAACTGACTTTTCCCCAAGTCCCAGAGTGGTTCAGTGACAGAGCTGGGAATTGAACCATTAGACATTTCCCTCTTCATGACAGCTCTGTACAATCCCAGGACTCATTTATTTTCCCTATTAAAAAAGAAGTAAACAAGTATTTTCTTTCTGAGACCCACTGAGGATGGGGGATTGGGGAAAAAAATGGAAGTAAAATTAAAAATAAAATGACATAATTCCCTACTGGCCCGGAGTTGTCCAGTCTCCTTTACATTCACACTTCTCTTTGTTATGTTTCCTTGAAGTTGAACCTCCCTAGAGAAGGGAACCTCAGAGTTTCTGGTGCTGGGGAAGAAATGCTTCAAGAAAAAGAAAAATAATCGCAGCTGCAATGTTAAAAATAAGAAGCTAATCAAAGGCAGCCCATGTGGGCGCCACTTTCATCTCTCATCTTCAAAGAGGTGCAAACAAACATTGTCGGCGTGCCAAGCAGCAGCCTCAGCGCCTGATGATCCCATTACTCCTCCAGCGTCCACCCTCCCTTTCCATGCTGCTGAGCCTGTAGGCATGGGACTCCAGGATCTCTGCCAAGGTGGGAACCTCTAGTCACCAGAGGGGAAGCCACATATGGAATTCCTCTGTGGATCCAAATTATTTCATAACAAACATACTCGTGCCCTATAGATCGTTCCTTGTACTGTTGCCTTTAGAGCCTTTCTAGTAACAATAATAGCATCTCTCGTTCCCTAAGATGCTGAAAAGACTCTAGATCAGAGGTTTTGTTCTGGTGTTTTGAGGGGTTTTGTTTTTCCAAAGATTTGGCTATTTTTAAGAATAATATCCAGGCTCTGATGAAATCCAGATGCATTTAGTGCAGTAGAAGAATGTGAGTTAGTAGTTAAAGTGATGGCAC